ATAGGCTTTTGTATTCTCCATTATTTTTCCCTCTCTCAAACAGTCCTTCCTAAAAGTACCATGACAGTATTAAATGAAGGAATAATTACTCTTAAATGTTATATTATCCATCCAGCTTTAAACATATTAAATTTATCATTTTTTCCTTGTTGGTAGCAAGGAACTACACAAGCTACAGAAATACACTCTTCTCCTGAACCTCCATTTGTTTATTTATTGCACCAATAATTACCATCTGTTTCTGACTTCTGCACACCCAGTAATTGGCTAAAACATCTATTTTGTGAATCAATGAGATTATAATGAACAAATTCACAGTGTCAATATATTTCATTTCAGTTCAACTGATTTCTTGCTTTATCCACAGGCACAAAGTAGTGCCCTCATTTCATTCTGAGAACTTAATCCTGATGCTCCAGTTCTTGTCCTGGTATCAACCACCGAATGCTCTCAGTCCGAATGGTGGCATACATAATAAAACTAGCCAGAAACAGCAAAGAAAATAAAAGTAGCCAATCTACTCCTTTTGTCAGAATGCTTGGTAGGGGGCCCTCTTGGTCTTCCTCAGTCACCGCCACATCAGGTTTAGCTTCTATTCCTGAAAGAACAAGAAAAAAGGACCCACTGATTAATATCAATAGTTTAGCCAAGTTTAAATCTCATGATGAGTTAGCTGGGGGTGGACTGTATTCAGATTCCCAAATATGCTGCTGGATTTAACACAGCTCTAGTCGATATAGCCACAGGACCCTTAGCAAGGGTCAAAGAACCTCCACCCTCCTTTAATAAGTAACTACCATCGGTCTGTCACTAGTGCATCATCCTCCACACTCAGAAGGGCAACATGTCTTAGAAAAAGAGAAGCCTTATCCCAGTAAGATTAGAGCCCAGACAGGCACTTCCCAACAACAGGAAAAGGGCCAAGGGCCCATTGTTCTCATCCTCCTCCTGCCCCCAACACAAGAACTGAGACCGATGTGTGCCCAACCTGCTGCCTATCAGGGAAAGGACCCTAAGACATCTGGCTCTCTCCCCTCCTGGGCAGGGTAACAAAAATAAGGATACTCCTAATGTGTGTCCACTTTTATTCCCAATAAACTCAGGGCTTTGATGGTTAAAGGTGCTTACTCTCAAATTCTCCAGCTGACTCCCACCCACAATAGCCCCGACCAGAACTGCTTTTTACAGATGGACTCCTAGCTTCTCCCCCTCCCTGAAATCACCCTCACGGTAAGAAGAAATTTCCTAAAACATTTTTATGGGTCCCCTAATACAATTTCAGTCTGGGGCTACAGCTGACCCTCACCTTCACAGCTCTACGTACCTGTTTGATTAAAAATAAATGCCTTCAATGTTTCCAGGGTCCTATCCGTATGATTAAATCTGGCCATAGGTTTAGCTCCTTGGAAAAGAAGGATATTAGGAACAGCCACAGTTCCAAATCGGGTTGATAAACTGAAGGAAAGAAATAGGTAACAATAGGTAGTATTTACTTCCTGAGAAAAACAGTTTTCATCTTTTGATTCAGACTCTAGATGAAGCTACCTGCTATGCTGAGATGCATCCAGTGCCACGAAACGAAGAGTTGGAAATGCTCGAGGCAAAGAATTAAAATGAGGAGCCAGGTTGGCAGAGAAACGACACCAAGGAGTGTAGAACAGGACCATTGTACAGTCACTGCTGTTTGGATTTAAAAACTCCATCAGGTCCTATGAGAGGAGAAGAAGAAAGCAGATTAGAAAAAAGAAGGGCCAATTAAACATGGAACAGGATTTTATTCTCCATCAGTGCATAATCTAGTAACATTCAGGAGGATGAGGCAGTACCACTAGGAGCAAGTCTGAACAGGCTTTTCAGTAGCATTTTAACAATTCTGATAAACAGAATGTGGTTCCCTTCCTTTTAACCCCATTTCTCAGTTAGGACTCTCCTTGGAAATCAAGTAATACTTTGGGGTTATCATTATAAAACAAATGCAGTAGTTATTTTCCTTGCTCCCTTCCCTAAGGGGCTGTGCTTGCTGGCTTTTGATAAACCAAATTTTGTTCGTCAAAGTGGGGCTCAACTACCTCTTGCCTTCCCCAGAAGGGGAAAATCCAGGCCCTGGCATGGACAGGGAGCTAATGTGGGAGAGGAAAAGGAAGCAGAGTTGTTCATTTTATAGACAAATGGAAGAAGAAACAACCAAAAGGAAAAGCTCCAAGATGACAAAAGCCTGTGCAATGCAGGGGAAGCAAAAGAGCGAGAAGATAAAGGGAAATTTGAGGACAGAGCAGAACAGGGAGGTGTTCACTGGAGAATCACAGAGCAATGCAGAAGGCAAGCAGGCTGGGAGTAAACAAGGAGGTACTTGGTAAACCAAAGTAAAACTTCCACCCAGGAAGAGCACACACCAACTGCAGATGCGTCCTCAGCCTGAGAAAGGGTTTTTAAACCGGAAAGCTTGCTAAGAAAAAACATTCCAACTATTTAAGTTGTGTTAATAAAAGATATCGGATTCACCCAAAGAACCTTGTCTACCTTGGTAAACCAAAGGCATTCTAGTGAACAGGTTCATGTTCTCTTCCAAGCCCATCCCTTGCCCTCGCATTTGGGGGATGAGACAGACCCTAACAAGTTCTACCACTTTTGGGGTGGGCTGAGGGTTTAACATCCCAAATATTTAAACAGTTAGTTAGCACTCATCCTTGTGATCTAACGGGAACAACTCTTCCTGTAACCTCCTGCAAACAGGAACAGCTTAAGGAGATACTCCCACGATGAAAAGGTTTTAGCCAGATTGCTTCACAGATGTCCTACACACATGCCTAGTGTTTCAAATTCCACCGATATCTTAGTAGAGCTTCTCAGAAACAAACCAATCATTCAGATTTCAACCATTGCCACAGCTAACACTTTAAAATTGAACGAGATTTGTAATGTTAAAGTTTTAAGGAAGCCCGGGGGGGGGAGCAGAAAAGCTGGAAGGAATGGAAATGTCACGCATTTGGGTCAAGCAATCAGAGCTTGTGGAAAGAGGTGATATCTTTTATTAGACCAACAAGATATTTGCAAAAAAATGTCTTTAACTGCAGGCTTTCAGGCATAAACACCCTTTGTCAGCATCAGAGAAAAGACTATAAAAGTTCTCCTACGTAGAAATGAAGGAATGAATGAATGACAGACAAGGTTCTTTGGGTGAATCCAATATCTTTTATTAGACCAACTTAAATAGTTGGGGGAAAAAAATTCTCAGCAAGCTTCTGGGTTTCTCTTAAATAGTTTCTTAGCAAGTTTCTTAACCTGGCAAATTAAATAGTTTCTTAACAAGCTTTTGGCTAAGAAAATATTTTTCCAACTATTTAAGTTTGTCTAATAAAAGAAATCAGATTCACCCAAAGAGCCTTGTCTGCTCACATCCTTAGACCAACATTGCTACAACCTACACCCCTGAATGAACGAACATTGGCAACATGCAGGGGGTGCACCACCGGCAAGACCAGAAGTGCCAGTGGAAATGCACTTCTGGTTTTGCCACTCAGCTCCTGTTCCATCACTGGGGGACCCACCCCCTGCCCCACCTGGGAGGGACCAGCTGCCCACATGTGGGTAGAAATTCATTTGTTCGTTCAAGGACTCCTACAGCCTTTTCTCTGATGCCCGATGAAGGGTGTCTGTGCCCGAAAGCTTGCAATTAAAGACTTTTTTTTGTCAAAATGTTGTTGCTCTAATAAAAGATATCACCTCTACTACGAGTCCCCACTGCTTTTTCCTCTAGCCCAACATGGCTACTGCCCGGATCCCCGACACAGTCAGGTGGAGCGCTACACCGCAGCCCAGTGAGTCTCAACGGGGGAATGGAGATGCTCTCACGGGTACCCCCCCCCCCAATGAGGGGCGGAGCGGGACGGGGCGAGGTGGGGGGAGGCCCGCGGCCCACCTGGGAGACGTTGAGGACGTGTAGCGCGGAGCCCCGCGGGCCGGGGCCGCTGCGCTCCTCGCAGGCCACCTTGGGCGCCCGGCCGCCGTCCGTGCC